AACTAATAGACATCACGGTGTTGTAACTTGCTTTCCCCTTGACCGTCTTGGACCACTTGCACTCATCCCACTCGGAGCTAGTGAACATTGCCCTTAATTGTGCCTTTTTTTTCCATCAAGCTTTGCAAGCTAAGAAATGAAGAGGCGAATCGCGTGACTCCGGGTCTTACTATGTCCCTCCTTTTAGTGTAAGACCTCATCATGGATAAGGTCTTATGATGTGCATAAATGAATATAGTCAATGCCTTTGCTTGTTCAATGGTTTTGGTGAACCAGAGTAATTTTGCAATGCCCTCCAAGATAAGATTGATGGTGTGTGCGGCACATGAAGTCCAAAAGATAGTTGGCCTCTTTGTGCGCAATAACTTCGCCGCTCCCATATTATTTGAAGCATTATCCGTCACAACTTGAACAACATTCTCGGGCCCAACTTGCTCAATGCATTGATCCACATATTCAAAAATCATTTCACTTGTGTGAGATATATCGGAAGATTCCTTGGAAGATAGAAATATCGTCCCATTTTAGAATTCACACACAAATTCATGATGCTTCTTCTCTTTCTATCACTCCAAGCATCCGTCATAATCGAGCAACCACTCTTCTTCCATTCATCTTCATAAGGCTTCACCTTGAGTTTTGTTCTCTCAACCGCTTTCTTCAACAATGGCTCTCTCATCTCGTACGAACTAGGAGGCTTCCACCTCGGCCCAAATTGACCGAGCGCTTCGCTAAAGAGCCGAAAGCTATCAAGCTCAAGTGCATTGAATGATATGCCCGCATCATAAGCCCAATCGATGAAATAATCTTTCACCAAGTTAGATCGTTCTTTCCAAATAACATCATTAATGTTTTGTTCCCGCATCATCTTTGCCACGTTCAATGATGCTTCCGGGTTGATTGTTGTAGCAAATCTATCCATTGGGCCAGGAGAGTGAGATTCTTTTGCTTTTTCGCGTTGTTGAGAGGACCCAACATTCAACCCTTTAATGTTAACCGAAGATAACAACTCTTCTTGGACTTCTTTTGTCTTCATCTTCTTGGCTTTGGACTCATTGATGGCATTTCTACATTTAGCTTGATCTTCTTTTGTTGCTTTTTTACATGACACAACATTCCCGGAAATTTGACCAATATGCTCTTTCAATCTATGTATACCACCCGACATAAATTTACTACATAACACGCATTTCACTCTATCTCTGTTATATGGATCGGCTAGAACACCATAGTTCCAACCTATGTCATCCGATTTTCTTTTAAATACTTGGGAATCATTCTCGGCTTCGATGGATGTCTGGGAATCACACGGAGTACTTTTTGATGCCGAACTACTAGCCATTGATAAAATGTAACAAAAAAATCATGAATAATACATCAATATTATTGCAAAAAAACACAATATACATGAATGTATAATATTTTTTTCAACTTTTGAATGTTACATACTTGAACTTTTACTAAGTTGTCTCTTTGGAATTTCATCAAACACATTATCTACATCTTTATGGTTTAACCATTACACACCACAATGATATTATAGCTAACCAACCAACACCAAATATCATCCACTTCACATATAAAGATTCCAATAAATTTTAATGAAACCCTAAAATTATCAAAATCTAATTACAAGTTTACAAACCAAGTCAAATATCCAAAATTCCATATAAAAAGAAATTTAAAAATACCTGATGAAGGGTCGAGATTCCACGTCGATGGCTGTCCGGCGGTGAGTCAGTCGGCGGTGAGTCAGTCGACGGCGCGTCGAGCGGTCGAGTAGGGTCAAGACTGGAGAGTTGTGTTCTGTCCAAGTTATTTGGAGCTCTCTGTTCGTGACTTCGTGTTCACAGGTTTAATTTTTAATGTTTTATTCTGTTTTTCAGATTTTTATTTTTTTATTTTTTTATTTCAACTTAAAAAAAACGACGTCGTTTGTTTCAATACCAAAACGACGTCGTTTCGTACTGGAAACAAAAAAAAATAAAGAAAAAAACTAAAACCTGCAGTAAACGCCGAGAGCCGCTGCTGCCGCCTCAGCCCGCCAACGCCGCCGAATCCGCCGAGTCGAGTAGACTGCAGACAGCTGCCTAGGCCGCCTAGGCCCGACTAGACGCCGTCGAGGCCGCCCGGCCGATTATTATGGCCAATTTGGCCAAATCGTCGGCAGCGTGCCGACGCCTAGCGCCTAGGCGGCTGCCTAGGCCGATTTTTCGAACACTGCTCGCAGGTCGACATTCCATGAAGAAGGGAAGAATGAGGAAATGGTAGCAGAAGCCCTCGACTTAATCGAAGAAGGGCGGGAGGAAGCTTGGGTGCGATCTGTCGAGTACAACCAAAAGATGCACGCAGCCTTTGAAAAAAAAGTTCGAACCCGACGCTTCCAAGTTGGAGACCTCGTCCTCAAGCGAGCAGATGCCCTCAAACATGTGGGAAAGCTCGAGGGTAATTGGGAGGGACCTTTCACAGTCACAAGGGTTCTCGAGAGAGGAGCATACGAACTCGAAGACGGAGAAGGTCGACAGCTGCCTCGATCTTGGCACGTGATTCATCTCAAACGCTTTTTGGCTTAAGATAATGTCCTGCACTCTTTTGTACTGAACAACGTCCAAATCAAATTCAGTAAAGAAAGAAATTTCAAGTTTGTGATTCAATTGTTTATTTTACATATCCATATCGATCTTTTTGGTCTGATGGATCCTACCCATCGTCAATGAAAGGAGACATGATCTCTGCCCTTGAGCTTGACTTGGGGCAGGATTAATCTTGCACTCTTTTGTACTGAACAACGTCCAAATCAAATTCAGTAAAGAAAGAAATTTCAAGTTTGTGATTCAATTGTTTATTTTACATATCCATATCGATCTTATTATGATTACTTGACGAGTTAAATTTTTTAAGAAACGGCTGTAAAGCCGACTAACTCCGATCAACTATGAAATCAATCAAAATAACTACGAAGTTGTATTTTCGAGTGGAATCTCGATCAAGGCTACGAGGCCTGCGACTACGAAGTTGACAAAACAACTACGAAGTTGTATTTTCGAGTGGAATCTCGATCAAGGCTACGAAGCCT